CCTCCCCCCCCCGAAGGGAGAAAGGGAGGTTGCAAGAGGAAACGCGCTAGACCACCTGCGCCTCGAGCGCGGGTGGATGTTGTTGGAAGGCATCCTTGGGATGCTCCAAGAATGGTCGGCGTCAGACTGATCGAACCCGGGCTACGCTGCGCCATATTGGTAGCCATCTGGGACAATACGGCGTCATCTTAGAGTCATTTCGGGCCATCTTCGACGCTCTAACGCGTGGCGCTGCCCCGCTCCGCCCAAATCCAGGGGAAGATCTCATTCCCCAAACCACCTAGTGTGACTATCGGCTCTACAGCTTCTTTTGCCCAGCGCGAGTAAGAACAGACCTTGCGTCGCGCAGCGCGCCAGTAGTAGCTGCGTCGTGGTCGACGCCATGGCCACCCTGTTCTCGGCGGTGCTTGTCGTGCTCGGAAGCGCGCTTGGAGCTACTGCTGCCCCTGGCCAACAATCTGGCAAGTTCAACGGCAGGGCTGGTGCACGGGCCCAGCGCCCAGACGAGCTGCCCTTCATGGAGACCGGGGCCGTGCGCTTGGCCTACCAGCTCATGGACAGCCTGAACCCGTTCCCTGTTGATGTCGTTCACGCTTCATCTCCACTTGCGTGGAGCGTGGCTGGCGCGGTTGGCAGAGCCACTTCGCTGCACCCATCTTGCGTTTACGTTCACTTGGTAATCCTCATGTCCCTCGTCTTGGACGCGGTGCAGGTCAAGTACGGGGGGATCTTGGGCAAGTTTTCGAACCCTCTGATGATTCAACACGGCGCGCCAGGGGACGGGAAGTCGATCGCGTTGTGGCTCGTTTTCCAAGTCCTCGCGTACTTCGACAAGATCCGCAACAAAGTCGTAAAGGCAGCCTACGATCAAAAAGTGAGAGACAAGAAAGACAAGAGGAGGCAAGGCCAGGGTCAGGCTGCCGAGGAGGAGGACTCCGCAGATGAAGATCAGAAGCTGACGCCGCCCGCCGACGTGGATTCGATTTTCAACAAAGGCACGTTCATCGGTTTAGGGCAGTTCCTGAAGGGGCAGGGCGGAGTAGCTTACTTCGGGCTTCACGAGGGCAAGACGTTCATGACGGATCTCTTCGCGAGCGGCCCCGGCGGCGGCGTGGAGGACTTGAACCAGATCATGGACCACGACTTGTACAAGAATCACCCAGCGAACAACCAGTCCAAGTTCAACGTGCGCAACGTGCACGTGGTCGGCTCCGTCCTCATGCACCTGGAGGAGGTGGAACGCCAGGCCCGCCAGTCGGACTCGGTGGCAGGCCTTTCGCGGTTCTTGGTCGGGAAATTCCCCGTGGTGGTCCACAAAATCATGCCGGACCTCAACCCCGCGGAGGTCGAGCAGCTGCTCCAGGACGACCCGGATTACTTCAACAGCATGAACTACGACGACGTCGTCGGCGGCCTCGCTAATATTTTGTTCGCGGGGCGCCAGCTGTTCCAGAAAGACGCCCCCCCGTCGGTGCCGGCCACGGACGTGAAGAAAGTTTATTCGAAGATCACTGGTCTCCACACTCTGCCAATGAGCTCCGAGGTCCAGGAACACTTCCGCAAGTCGTACAACGATTCTGCCGACGCGATCCGGGACGACCTCGCCAACCTCGGTGGCCGGGCTTCCCAGCTGAGCAAGGACAAGACCAGGCCGCTCCAATTCATCGCGCCCGTGCATCTCCTGGAGAAGACCATCAACTTCTTGCTCTCGAAGGCAGGCAAGTCGGCGGAGGAAAAGAAAGACATGGACGGACAAGCCATTCTGGTAGCCCTCGCGTCCGTGGACTCGGAGTCCCTCTGCAAGACCGTGCCCACGAGGGATGCCATCCCACGGGGCGCCACGAAAGCTGCCGTAGACACCTCCGTTGCCTTGGCGGCTTGGTTCGCCCGGAGCTTCAGCATGACCGTGGGCGCTTCCCAGATGGTCAAGGCATTTCTCGCCGACCGCGCGCGACTCGCGGCCGTGCCAGCGCCTACCTTCGAGACGGCTGCGCAGATGCTGAGCGCAATCGTCGCGCCGCGCCTCGACCCAGCCAGCACGTTGGCGGAGATCGCGGAGAATCGCCTAAACATTGTCGCATTCGCACAACGCCCTGCTGTGTCTGCCGACGACGTCCGCGCGAAGATCGTGGACATCCTCTTGCTCGCTTTCATGGGGTTCGTCCACGTGAAGGACGGTCGCTGCGCGGTGGCATCTTTCGCTATGAACGACGAGAGTTTCCTGCGCGCAGCGAACCGACTCCAGACCTGGTTCTCGGATGCCTCCTTCGCTCATGTAAGAGCATTGTGCCCGGAAGAGGGGCTCGGCCCGGTCGTCGTGAACGCCGACGCAGCGTCTGCCGCAGTGGCGGCGATGAAGAATTTGGTCTAGGGCACTGCGGTGGACGTGTCGGTGCACGCCGACATCTTCAGCACTTCCGCCGCCGAGGTCGCCCTGCCGGAGCCAGAGCCGCCTGCGACCCAGGCAGACAGGCACAGCCAGATTCAGCGCATCCTTCAGGGCGATGCCGCGGCGGCCGCTCACCCACACGGACTCACGCAGGCAGGGCCGGCGGGGGAGCCGCCCGAGGGCGGGCCCGGCCGCGAACGGGTTGCGAAGCGTCTTCAGATGCGGGAGGAAGCGCCCTTTGACTACCAGGGGCTGCGTGGCAACGTCTTGCTGGCTGGGAAGATTGGCGCGGCTGCGCGCGCCACGCAGTCCACCGACATCGCCGTCAACAAGCTCAAGGACATGTTCAAGAGCGACGGCACAGCGCCCGCCGTCGACAAGACCGCAACTCTGCTGCTCCAGTTCCTCCACGAGCTGGGGCTGGGGACACGCAGCAAAATGGGGAAATCAATCGTTGTGCTGGCCCCGCCAGAGCAGCGCATCGAGACGGTGGCGAAGCGCATTGCGTCCATGTTCAAGCTGAACGAGACGAAAGAAGCGCGGATGGTCGAAGCTATGTCGAGGCGCCCTGTCTGCCTTCGCTTCAACTTGGAGGCTTTCGACGCACTTGCCCGCAAGGTCGAGGAGGGCATTCCTGAGTGGGCCCCGAAGCCGCGCTAAATGTAAAGGCGCCATGGGAGATCGGCAGGTGGACGTTTCAATCGCCGCGTGCGCCCAGCGCCCAGCCTCCGGGAGCTTTGTCTCGGTGGCGGCTTCTCTTTTAGGTGCATGCCTATCTCTGTCTCTGTCTCTGTCTCTGTCTCTGTCTCTGTCTCTCTCTCTCTCTCTCTCTCTTTCTCTCTTTCTCTCTCTCTCTCTCTCTCTCTCTCTCTCTCTCTCTCCCCTTCACCTCCCTACATTTCCTTCCCTCTCCGTCTTCTTCCCTCCCTTGCTGCCGATGTTTGCGATTTTGAAGATTTGGTTGTTGGAGCCATTCGGGGATGCACGCGCGGCCTCCCCTCCTACCTCGATTCCCCGCCTCCCCAGAATATGCCCCCGGGGCATCAGGTGGCAGCGCTGTTAGCCAGATACGCAGCCATCACATCAATGTTAAGCCTTTGCCCCGCGCCTTCATCATAAGGCGGCGCAGTATCTGCCTTTGCGTAGCCGCGCCGCTCCAGGCGTTAGGGCCCAGCCTCCGAGAATGCCGCAGCCGCAGCTAGGGCACCAGTCGCTAAACCTCTTATGGTGAGGCCCTAGATAGTTGCTCCTTAGCCTGCCAGGCTGCACAGTCCAGGTCCACAGCTGCTCCCCACGAGCAGGGGCCGCGCATCCCGCGGGGTGGGGGCCCCACCAGGCGGCCAAGAGCTGTCACACAATTCGCCCGTGCTGCTGCAGGCGTTCTCGCCCACATAGCAGCGGCGCCAGGCCGCCCGGCGGCCAGCAATTTTGGCTCTCCAACTAAATCCTTTCTCGGCTGGCTCATATACCGCCCTTCCCTGGCCGGTCGCTCTTTTGATCGGCCGGATACTTCTACCGTGCGCTTGGCCATTGGCTATTTCCAGCATTCGTTTGAGCACGTTGGGAAAACGTTATCTGTTTCTCCAATTGTACATTTTTCTCCTCCCTGGGGTGGATGCTTTACGATGGCCATGTCGGAGGCCATCGTAAAACATCTGGAGCCATCTTGGAACCCTCTTGGGCCAGAACTCTCCTCACCGTTGCCCCTCTTAAGCCCCCGAGGTCGCCGCTTGGAGCTCTCTTGGAGCGCTCTAGGGCGCTCTGGGGCCCTTGGGGTCATCTTGGGGCCGTCTTGGGCCCTCGTGGGGCTGTTGGGTCCTCTCGGGGCCATCATGAAGCCTTAGAAGGCCATCGGAAGCGACAACGCGAGAAGGCTAAACTTTACATGATTTGGGCTCCTCGCGTCCTAGGGAGGCCCCAATTCACTTTGGCTCGTCGTGGAGCGGTCCAGGAGCCTCTCGGAGCATGTTTGGAGCCAACTTGAGCCACCATGCACAATATGGAGCCATCTTGGAGACCATCTTGACATCTTTGAGACCCTCTGGGAGCCATCGTGGGCCAACAACCACCCCCTGACGCCTCGCGGCCCCCCTCCAGATCCCGGGGGGGGGGGGGGCGCCCCCGATGGGGCAAGAAGGAGGTTGGAAGACGAAGCGCCCAAAACCACCTCCGCCCCAAGAAACTCCCAGGAGCCGCCCGAGACGGGCTACGAGGCTCCACTCTGCAATGCCTCCCGCCCTCCTGCTGCCCACTTCTCCTCACTCCTGCCTCTCCCCCCTTCCATTCTTTCGTCTCCGGGTTCTCAGATTCCGTCTTTTTCCCATCATTCTTGAACCTCTTCGGAAGGTCCCGGCACAACGTCAAACGGACAACGCGGCAACCAACATGATGCTGCGCATTGTTGTTTATTGTCTGTGTCTTCTTGCGTACCCCGCTCGTTCTTTTCTGAGGTCCGGACGTCGTGGCAATATCAGCTTCTGATTTGTAATATCGTGGCTCTCATCGTCTTTGCCATCCCCGTCCTGGCCCAATTAGGCTCAAGCATGCGAGGTCGTCCTCTCAGCGTCGCCTTCGGACATTGCTCGCATATTCCGACCGCGTCGGCTTCGCCATGGCCGGCGATCCAGGGGGGCACTTCTCCCTTGCTCGGATTCTGGAGCCTTTGCCTGTGCAGTGCACCGCGGCTTTCTGCGACGTGTTGGCGCACGTCGATGCCACCCTCGCCTTGCCTGTCCTGAAATGCGTCCTGTCCGAGCAGGGTTATGGACAGGTCGACGACACTGTGCTGGCAAACGTTCTTTGGAAGGTGCAAACATACTTGCCGAGCTTGGTGACCAACCGCTGCCAACCAGGCAAACTGGCAGCACGTTTGAAGGAAATGCAGGATGCGGCTCCAGATGTTACCCTTGTTCGCACTCCTGCTCGCCAAGGCGCGTGCCCGCACTGCGAGGGGATCTCCCTCTGCCCGTGCCCGGGCATCGACAAATGCGCCCGCGGCCGAAATTTACCAATTTTGGAAGCCGAAGCCGCCCGCGCGGGAACGCCACCAGAGAGCAATGTTACCGTCCGGTATAAAATGTATTCGTGGACCGCTGGCGTGCAGTACGCAGTGTTTGAAGAGAGCCGGTGCCCGAAGTGCTCGCGTTTCTTCTTGGGGGGATGGTCCTACAGAAAGAACTTTGGCGAGCGTGGTCAGCCGACGTTCGGTCGCTGCACAGATGTCAAGTTCGCGGGCAGTACGGTTGACGACCTGTACGTGGTCATCCCCCGGCAGCAGAGTTATTTTGCGGTGGAGACTCATTTCCTGCGTACAGTCACAGACCAATTGGCGTTCAGCGGGGCCACCTTCACTTCCATAGTACACGTGGGCCCGGCAGCACCGCAGCGCGATCCAGGCCCGGTTGACTGTGGGAGATGATTTGACCCTTGTACATCACACCCGCGACTGCCTTGAACTCGCGTGGTTCACGTGGCAGGCCACGCGTTTGGCCGGCGACGCAGCTAAGGAGCAGACGTGGTCTTTCGAACTGTCGCAATTTGATGCGACGTTAGTCCAGCTGCAGCCTGCATTCCGCATGGCCAACTTGAGAAGAATAGCTTCTCACGTGGCGTCGTGCCCGCGGTGCCAGCGTTTGCTCCTGGTCATCGGCGACGGGAAGCGCGGGGCTTGCCGCCACGTCTGCGCCGGCACTGACGGGTCCATCGCCTATCCAGACGTGGGCGCCACGCTGTACACGGGGTGCCGGGCGCACGTCGGCGGTAGGCGCCACCTGTGCCAGACATGTCGACCTTCTGGTAAAGAGCAGACTGGCCTAGTCCCCTAACTCCGGGTCCTACGAGCCGAGCTGGCGCCGGCCCCGGACGGCGGCTTCGGCTTGGAGACCCGCTACGTCGTCGAATGCAAGACCGTCGCCAGCGACGGGGAGCTCTTCGAATTCTCGCTCCCGCGTTCCGAAGTGCGGCAGGATCTCCTCGCGCAGTTCGAGATCGGCAGTCTCCCCCTTCGGAGCGACCCGCGACAGAAGTTGCAGAAGCCGCCCACGTGGAAGAGCAAATTGCAGAAGACGCTCTGGCATGAGGGTGCCCGCGGTTCCTGCGCCCCGCAGCCGCCGCGGAGCAGCGCCAGCGGCGGGCTCAAGAGGAGCGCGCCGCCGCGGGTCGCCGCGGGGCGCGGCGCGCGCAAGAGGCGCGCGATGGCGGATGGCCCCCGCGCGCTGGCATCCACTGGGCTCAGGAAGAGCGCGCCGCAGGGGGCCGCGGGGGCGCGCGGCAAGCGCCAAGGGCAGGCGAAGGCGAAGGCCGCCCCCGCGGGGGCAGCCGAGCCGCGCGGCCGGCGGCGGGGCAGCGCCGCGGCGCCCGCGCAGGCACTTGGGCGGGCGAAGCGCACGCCTAGCACTGCGGCCGCCGCTCGCCGCGACGCCGTCGGCTCCAATTGGCTCTACGCTGCCCGCGAGGTGCCGGTCGAGAAAACGTCCTGCGGCATCAGCAAAGAGAACGCGTCCGAGGCGCGGCGAAGGCGCTGCACGGGCGGTATCGTGACCGCCGTTCTCCAGTGCGGCTATCTGGCCGACTGGCAGGAATTGTGGCGAGGGGAAGGCATCGAGGTGATGTACTTGTTCTTCCTCCGGCTGTTCAAGGATCTTTCAGAGCTGAAGGCGGCGCTCCAAGTCATAGGATACGACAACGCGTGCCAGTTGCCCGCTTTCGCCAGGGCGAAGAGAGAGCTTCAGAAGCCGTGGTCCCAGGAGTTCGTGGATAAGGTGAAGATGATCTTGGACGGCTTCCACAAGGGCAACCATGCGTGGTGCCTGAGCAATCTACCAGAGGTGGATCCCGACTCTGAGGATAATGCAGTGCTCATGGCGGGCAAGAACACGCAGGCTTGCGAGCAATTGAATTCCTGGATCAACGAGCGCACTGCGCCTGGGCGGGAGATGACTCCAGGCCACTTCGGCGTGTACTGGTGGGCTTTGTTCACGGAGCACAACGAGTGGCTGGTCCATCAGGCGGAGTGCAACCGCAGGAGGTACGCCTGCGGCAACATGAAGCACGACCCGGACGTCTCTCGGCCAAGCCGACCGACAGAGGGCACGACGGCGTAGATCGCTCGGGCGGGCCGGCGGCCCAGCCGAGAGACCGGTAATGCGCTCTGTGTACTCGCGGTACTGGTGCTGTGTACTTGCCAGCAAAACATGCCAGCCAGCGTGGGCCCCTCGCAGCGACTTAGTGAAATGCATGCGGTGCAGGCTGAGTGGTGTTAGGTATGTGGGTTGGCTACGCGGTGCCATGTGTGTGGTGCACGCTGTGCGGTGTGAGCTATGAGGTGCAGTCTATGCGGTGCAAGCTGTGTGGTGAAATATATGTGCTATGTGCTGCGGTCTATGTAGATGGGCTATGCGGTCCACAAGATGAAGTGCACCCCATGCGGTGTAAGCTATGAGGTGCAAGCAATGCAGTGCAAGCCGTGTGGTGTAAGCTGTGCGGGGGCAGCGATGTGGTACAATCTACGTGGTCTGAACTATGCGGTGCGATCTATATGGTGCGCACTATGCGACGTAATGTATGAGGTGCATAAGCTCTGCGGCACAGTGTGTGAGGTGCACACTCAGCGGTGATCTATGAGCTCTAACGTATGTGGCGCAAGGTGTGTGGTGCAAGGTATGCGGTGTGCGCTATGTGCTATGTGCTGCGAGCTATGTGGATTATCTATGCGGTCCACTCGACGTGGTGCAAGCTATCGGCGCAAGCCGGGTGGTGTAAGATGTACTGTGCCATCCATGTAATAGAATCTACGTGGTGAAAATCATGCGGATCACCGGCTCGCCAGGGCGCTGGATCCGGACCGCCGAATCGCCGTCTCGCCGGATTGCCAGATCGCCGAGCGTCGGATCGCGAGATCGCCGGCTCACCGGATCGCCGGATCGCCGGATCACCGGATCACCGGATCACCGGATCACCGGATCACCGGATCACCGGATCACCGGATCACCGGATCACGGGATCACGGGATCACCGGATTACCGGATCACCGGATCACCGGGTCACCGGATCACCGGATCACCGGATCACCGGATCACCGGATCACCGGATCACCGGATCGCCGGATCACCGGTCACCGGATCACCGGATCACCGGATCACCGGATCACCGGATCACCGGATCACCGGATCACCGGATCACCGGATCACCGGATCACCGGATCACCGGATCGCCGGATCACCGGATCACCGGATCACCGGATCACCGGCCTTGTGAAGTTTGTTTTGAGGCGCACCCCCCTGCCCGCAGGGAGGCTTCGCCGCCGCCTTGCGAGACGCCCCGCCCCCACAGCGCGCACACTCCCCGAGGGGCGCCGCCCCAGAGTTGCCCCTTTCCCCTGGGGGGCCGCGCGAGGGCGCGGGGGGAGGTGTGCGCGTCCGCGGCGCCAGCACAGGCGTGCAGGTGGCCTGGGGGGCGGGGGGGGTGAGGCGGGGGAGGAGAGGCTGGGGGGCGGAGGAGACGAGGCTGGGAGGGGGGAGGCGGGGGAGGAGAGGCAGAGGCGGGGGGGGGGAGTGAGGAGGGGGAGGAGGGTCCCGGGAGGCGGAGGAGAGGTGGTGGACGCGCCGTGGGTGTCGGCGGGAGCGAGAGGAGGGAGCGAGGAAGGGGAGAGGCAGGAGAGAGGGAGAGAGAGGGCGAGAGAGAGAGAGAGGAGAGGAAACAAAAAGAAGGAACGGAGGGAGGGAGAGAGGGAAAGGAAGGGATGGGAGCTGGGCCGTCTGCACGTCACGCTCGCCCGCGCTCGGCACCTCTTTCCTGCCCTTGGCCGCCTCCTCTTCTGTGGACGGGAGGAGTAGGAAGGAATGACCAGGCAAGCACGGGTCGGATGGCTAAAAATGAGGGGAGAAGGCCGACGAAGAGGAGGAAAAGGAGGAGGAGGAGGAGGAGGAGGAGGAGGAGGAGGAGGAGGAGGAGAGGGATTCCGAGGCGTTCCGAAGCCGAAAAGCATCGGAAATTAGAAATACAGATCGCACATGCTTTTCAATCGGTTTCGCCTCTGGGATGCTGCCAAAGGCCTCTTTGAGGGTTTCTTGGAGGCATCTTGGTAGGATCTCGGAGCCTTCGGGAGCTCGATGGGCCGTCTCTGGATCATCTTGGGGCGGCCGTTGGCTGTCTCGGAACCGCCTGGAGGCCGAAAGGAGCGCTAGGAGGGGGCGGTCGGACCTAGGTCGGGGCGTTTGGGGGACCGCCCCCCAGAAACTGCAGACACGCTCGCACCTGCCGCTGGCATGGTGGCAGACCAAGCTGCAGACCTGCCGTTGGCGATCCGACTGACGATCCAATCACCCATCTGCTTGAGCAACCCAGTCACGAGACACATGGGCCACTGGCCCCAAGTTCGAACGATAGACAGCCTTAGCTGCCTCGATACGCCCGTCTTGATGCGCAGCACGTGCCGTGTTCAAGACCTCCGTGTCCATGCGTCGCGTGTTGGCTCAACGCATTAGACCACGTTTTGGCGAAGGTATCGCGTCGGGCCTACGTTTTCGGCCTACGTGCTGAGCTCCGTGTCAACACGCTGCGTGTTGCGTGTTGCGTATCGGGTGAGGACCCGCCCGCCCGCGCCCTGTCTCCCCAATTAGTGCTTCGCGCGCCCCGCCTAGCTATTGACCGGAAGAGGCCCGCTCTTGACCCGCCGACCAAAAAGTGTTGGCTCAACGCATTGGACCACGTTCTGGCGAAGGTATCGCGTCGGACCCACGTTTTCGGCCTGCGTGCTGAGCTCCGTGCCAACACGCCACGTGCTGCGTGTTGCGTCTTGTCCTGTGCAAGATCTTCGGCACCGCCTGTTTTCTGAGCCCTCCGGCCGCCTGAAGCCCCGCCCGCCCGCCCCCTGTCTCCCCAATTAGGGCTACCCGCGTCCCGTTTAGCTCTTGACCGGAAGGGGCCCGCTCCCGACCCGCCGACCAAAAAAAGGTGCGATCATCGGGGCAGCGAAGTAGAGGGGGAGGAGGAGGAGGAGGAGGAGGAGGAGGAGGAGGAGGAGGAGGAGGAGGAGGAGGAGGAGGAGGAGGAGGGGGAGCTTGTGCACAGGGCAGGCCTTGACGTCGGCGGCGCTCTGGCGGGGGAGACACGGGCGCCGGTCTCGGCCGGGCTCTCCGGGGGGGGGGGGGCCCGGAGGGGGGGCCCGGGGGGCCGCGATCGCGTGCCCCGCCCTCGCCTTGCTGGCGAACAGGGCCGGCGGCGAGGGCTCTCGGGTTATGTCGGGCGTGTCCCCCTACAGGGGGATTTTCGGCGACATATTTTTAAAATACCCTTAAAATGCCCCAAGAAGGTAAACAAAATATCCAGAAAATAGTCCCCAGACTATTTTGGAACAATTTTTGGACTACGTTTGGGGGTTTTCGACGAAAATAAGAAAACACCCCAAAAATGCCCCAAGAAGGTAAACATAATATTCTGAACATAGTCCCCAGACTATGTTTGGACTATTTTGGGGCTATTTTTGGGGTCTGTTTTATGTTTCGTCGAACATGCCCCCTGTAGGGGGACAGACCCAGCTTCAGGCTCGGCTCGTGTCTGATATGCATCGCGCTCCAGCCGACCTTGTGGGCGCCGGCGGCCAGACTCGTGGAGGACGATCTCAATGGAGAGGAAGCATCTTGCCAGATGCTTTTTCCAGATGTCTAAAGCATGTGTTAGTCAGAAGGAAAAAAACACGCAGACACAATTAATCGTCGACTCCCAGGAAAATACGGGAAAATATGGGAATTGGGCTGGAAACAAAACCCAGAAAATATGAAAATATGTGGGGAATCCTGTTATTTGTGTGTATTTATTTGTGTGTTTGTGGGCCCCTTCAGTTAAGCATGTTTCAAGCATGTAAAGACAGGTGTGAAACATGCTTAGAACATGTTTACGACAAATTCAAACACACTTTAAGTTCAATGATGGGACTGTTAGGGTGTCCAGTGTCGTGGCGTCCACAAGCCTAGGCAGTGGGTGACTGCGCTGGCGATGAGAGGCTTGAACGGGGATGCCTTTCGAGCGAAGTCGAGAGGAAGAGCAAGGAGAAGACGTCGCTCCAGCTGGACAACCCACTGCGCAACTGGCCGGCAACCACGGAGCAGCCGCACGGGACGGCCACGGGAGCGCCGCGAAGCAGTCTGCAGGAGAGCCGCACGGGGCAGCCCCGCGCTCGGCACCACCGCGTCACGGCCCGCGCGGTCTCCGCCTCCGGGGCCGCGCTCCGAAGCATCCCGTCGAAGCTGCCCCCCCTTTGCCTGCGCTGGGTGCCCCCCGTGTGCCCCCCACGGCGCGACACCGCCGAGCCGACGCCGACGCCGAAGCGATCTCCCGACCTGTTCGTGCCCGTCAGTCTCCGACGGGAGGGCAGGCAGGTGGGGCGGAGGCGGAGGAGGAGGAGGAGGATGAGGAGAGGGGGGGGCGAAGGAGGAGGAGGAGCCTGTGCTGACAGTCTAATCCTTCTCTGAGAAGGACGGATGATGATGCTGATGCTGACGCTGATGCTGATGCTGCTGATGCTGATGCTGATGCTGATGCTGATGAGGATGAGGATGAGGATGAGGATGCGGATGAGGATGATGCTGGTGCTGATGCTGCTGATGATGATGACGATGACGATACCGATGACGATGACGATGACGGTAACGATGGCGATAGTGATGGCGATGGCGATGACGATGACGATGACGATGACGATGTTGATGCTGCTGTTGTTGTTGATGCTGCTGATGATGATGATGGTGATGAGTATGATGATAAGGGTGCTGGTGTTGATGATGGTGAGGATGATGTTGGCCATCATGATGGTAATGATGACGGTGGTGATGATGACGATGGCGATGATGATGATGATGATGATGATGATGATGATGATGATGATGATGATGATGATGATGATGATGATGATGATGATGATGATGATTATTATTATTATTATTACTATCATTATTGTGGAGGTGATGATGTGAATGACGACAGGTGTGATGGCAGTGACGATGATGTGGATAAGGGTGAGGGTGATGGTGATGATGGTGACGACGATGATGATGGTGACGACGACGATGAGGAGGACGAGGAGGAGGAGGAGGAGGAGGATGGTGATGACGATGACGATGGCGATGATGAGGACACTGATGATGATGATGAGGAGGAGGACGACGAGGATGATGATGATGATGATGATGATGATGATGGTGATGATGATGATGGTGATGAAGACGACGATGATGACGATGACGACGACGATGACGATGATGAGGACACTGATGATGAGGAGGAGGAGGACGAGGATGATGATGATGGTGATGATGATGATGGTGATGATGGTGGTAGTAGTGGTGTTGATGCTTATGGTGATGCTGATAGCAGGATGAGGAGGAGGAAGAAGGGGAGGAGGATGAGGAGGAATGGGAGGAGGAGGATGAGGACGATGAGGACTGGCAGGAGGAAAAGGACAGCGGGCGCGAGGCGGACGAGGTGGATTGGAAAGACGAGGAAGCGGGTACGCCAGAAGGGTGGTATCAATCGAACCTGGCGTGGGCGTTCATATAGTATTGCAGCGGCGCAGGCGTACGACGATCGGACAGAGCCCGAGCGCGCGCGCGCGCGAAGCATGCGCAACGCTTTTACTCAGCATGCGCAACAGGTAAAGACGCTGGGAACAAGGACCACTTTGGCCTCGGAGGAGGCTCGGGGTTCCTTGGGCCCTCCCTCGGGGGTTCTCCTCCAGCGCCGCTCGCAGACCAAGGCGCAACGGGGGCGAGGCGGGGGCGTCGGCCCACTGATGAAGGAGGCAGGGCTATTTCCTCCTCTTCTCCACTGCCGCGGCGCCGGCCCGCTCTCACGGGGAACGCGTCGCTCCTTTCTTCGGGCTCCATGCTGAGCCAAAGCTGGCCCAGCGCGTATCAATGGCCCCGCCACCGGGTTTCATAACCCTTCCTCTCTTTCTTTTTTTGTGAAGATTGACCGCCTTCCATAGCCCTGAATCGGGCAATAGCCTTTAGTAGCCCTTGATGATTTGCGTTCTACGACCCTGGCCAAAATGAACCTCAAAAGCGCGTTACTTGCGAAGTGCGTGTTGGCGCCTACTTTCCAACGCCTGTCATCGTGGAGCTTCCGAGTCGCGCCAGCACAGACCGCACTTCGGCCTGCTTCGACATGGAAGGAGGCGAGATGGAGGCGGCGAGAGGCAGCGACACTAAAGGGGCGCGTCAACCACTTCTGAGGTTCCTTTTGTAGGGAAACGAACTCTATACACCGACGCTTTTTCCGATCCTGCGCTGAAATTCGCACAGGAACGCGGATCCTGGTGTATACGGGATCTTGGTGTATACATTTCTCGTGGTCTCCCTTGGGAAACGGGGGAGCAGCATACACCGCACCACCCCGACGTCGTCCCCGACCCTTCAGAAGTCGTGGGACTGAAAAAAACAACCCGCCACTGGTACACGCTGGTCGTTGCAACTAGGTACTTTTGGAATCCCAGATCACAATCTACTTCAGGCGCCTTCCTACTTCAAGAATCGGCATGCTTTTGCTGTGTTTTGTGATTCTCTGGGAGGGCCTGGACCCAATCCACTTTATCCGCCTTCCTACTTCGTGTTTCTACCTACTTCTTCCGACCGACGTGTACGTTGCGTGTTGGCTCCACGTATTGGACCACGTTTTGGCGAACGCGTCGCGTCGGACCTACCTCCTCCTCCTCATTATCCTCCTCCTCCTCCTCCGCCTCCTCCTCCGCCTCCTCCGCCTCCTCCGCCTCCTCCGCCTCCTCCTCTCCTCTCGTGTGGCGTCTCGGTCTCCACTTTATCCGCCTTCCTCCTTCGTGTCTCTGCCTACTTCTTCCGACCGACGCGCAATCGCCGACGATGAGAGGGGGGGGCCGACGGCCCGCCCCTCGCAGGGCCCCGCGCGGCTCCGATCTATTCGGGGGGCCCCTTCCAGGCCGATGCTCCAGGCCTCCCCCTCCCCCTCCTCCTCCTCCTCCTCCTCCTCCTCATCCTCCTCCTCCTCCTCCTCCGCCTCCTCCTCGCCTTCCTACTCCTCCTCCTCCCCGACCCTCAAAAAGCCGTGGGACTGAAGTAGTGTACGTGCTCCAGTTTCCGATCGCGGAGGAGGAGGAGGAGGAGGAGGAGGAGGAGGAGGAGGAGGAGGAGGAGGAGGAGGAGGAGGAGGAGGAGGGAGGAGGGAGGAGCAGGAGGAGGAGGAGGAGAGGAGGAGGAGGGAGGAGGAGGGAGGAGGAGCAGGAGGAGGAGGAGGAGGGGAGGAGGAGGAGGAGGAGGAGGAGGAGGAGGAGGAGGAGGAGGAGGAGGAGGAGGAGGAGGAGGAGGAGGAGGAGGAGGAGGAGGAGGAGGAGGAGGAGGAGGAGGAGGAGGAGGAGGAGGAGGAGGAGGAGGAGGGAGGAGGAGGAGGAGTCGGGGGGCCCGACGGCGCGGGCTGTGCGGGAGGCAGGAGGCCTGCCCGCGCGGCGCGCCCCCGACACGGCGCGCCCGCCCCCCGAGAGGCCCTGGAGGAGCAGGGCCCCGGCGCTGCGGACCCCGCCCAGCTCGCGCAGAGCGCCCTGGGCGCCGCGCTGGCCCTCGCCGGCTGCTCTTCGTCGTCGTCGTCGTCGTCGTCGTCCTCCTCCTCCTCCTCCTCCTCCTCCTCCTCCTCCTCCTCCTCCTGCTCCTCCTGCTCCTCCTCCTCCTCCTCCTCCTCCTCCTCCTCCTCCTCCTGGGCACGCCTCCTGCCCCTTCTGGCCCTAGCCTGAACATGAGATTCCTATCGTAGATTGCCGAAATCCGAGTGAATTTGAACAATCAGTGCGTGTGTTTTTTGTTTCGGCTCTCCTTTTTTAACATCCTATTTTATCAAATGCGTTGCTTGAAGACAATCAATATTATTGGATTCCTTGTTATAACATCACACCCGCACCGTTAATTAACCCATACTGGGTCCAGGGCCAGTGCGAGTGCCCTTCTGGCTTGGCAGGGGGGAGGGTCTCGCTGGGCGGGGCTGGGATGAAGTCGGGCGTGTCCCTCTACAGGGGGGTATTTTTGGGGGTATTTCTTATTTTTCGCCCCAAATCCCTTTCTAATTAGGGGGACACGCCCGACTTAAGGCTGGGACTGGGATGAACCGTTCGAGTCTTCCAGAGCGCTCTCAGAGCGTTCCGGAGCGCTCTGGAACGGCCGCGGCCCCCGGCACATCCTCCAGAGCTGCTGGATCTCATAGATCCCGCGACCTATCCTTGTCCTGGTCCTGTGCTGTCCAGGCAGTGGCTCCGTTTTAGAGGGGCGTGTGCACCGATGCTGGGCCCAGGATGGGTGTTGGTGTGTGTAGTTGCTGCCTTGCGCCTACTATGGCCCCCCTCGCCCCCCGCACACTGTGCCCTTCCGCCCCCATTTCAGCTGCCTCTTCCTCTCCATGCCGGCGCCCCCTTTCTGTCCCATTCTTCCAGCTGCACCAGAGGCCTCCGTGACGCCTCAAAACGGCCCACAGGGCACCCAAGAGACCACCAAGTCGGCCCAAGAGGGGCCCCAGCAGGTACTCCAAAGTCACGGAACGTTGCTTTTAAAATGGAGGCCCCAAGGGAGTTCCCAAGATCCACAGGGCGCCAACAGGCCCCGAACACAGCCCAAGCGACGAGGCTCCGAGAGCCGTCGCAGATTGCCCAAGAGCTTGAAACAGCACCAGAGCCACCAGCAGCATAATCACGTGGAGGACGATCAATGGAGAGGAAGCATGCTGCCAAGTACTTCCGCTGGAGCCCTCGCCGCATTCTCTCACTCTCTCCCTCCAGTCTTCCTCCTTTGTTTGCATCGCATCTCTTTCTCTACCTCCCCCTTCGCCCTCATCTCCCTTCCCCTCGCTTCTATCCCTCCGTCGGAACCTGGAGGCTCAATGCGTGGCCGAGGCATGATACGACCCCTCCTGCTTGTTTTGCAAGGTCGGTCGCCTGTCTCGTCCCGCCCAGACGGACGCGGCCCGACCCGCAGTAGGGCAGGATTGACCTCGCTCGCTCGCATGTCCTCCCCTTCCGTCGGGCATTGAGAGAAGGCCCACTCAGACAAGTCGCCTTAGGCACTACACTGTTTCACTCGACATTGGCATTCGAGGGTGCTGGTGCAGTCCCCAGTCGGTTTCGCTGATCGACGTGCTTCTCATCGGATGCGTTCGGTTGTTTTTGGACGTTGATTAGCCACCCCGCTGAGGTGCACTCGGAATGCGGTGCCGTGCGCACGTGGAGTGGCCCTGGCAGCTTTCACTAAAGGGAGTTTTGCCAAAGGTGCTTCTGCCCCCGCCGATTTTCCCTCCCCCCTCCCCCTCTTCCACCATCGTGTCCCCTCCTCCCTCTCCCTTCCCCCGTCCCTCCTCCGTGAGCCCGCGATGCTCGCAGACCGCGGCGAGGCGGCGGAGGTGGGCCGCTGGCGTTGTCAGTGGTAACTTGCAGCCAAGACGCTGAAACGAGGACCGCTTCGGGGTCATGCGAGGGGCTCGAGCTTCCGGGCCGCGCCTTGTAGCCAAAGGGGAACCCGTTGGTGGCCGAGGCTCGGCGTGGTCAGAAAAGCTCATTCGCTCCCTGTCGAGCGCTCCTTCTGGCAGCACGATGACTATCTGGATGTGAGCTGCTCGTGGAGTGCTGGCGGTGCGACTGCGCTGGTCTCCGGTGCCTGCGGGCGCCTGCGCGCACTCCTCGCGGGGACGGTTCTCAACGCCCGAGGTCCCCCCCCCCGCGTTCCTCCTCCGCGGCCGCCCTCTTCCTCCCCCTGGTCGCCTGTGTGTGCCCGTAGCCCAGGCGCGCCCCGCCGGCCATCTCAACGCGTTGTGCGCGCCCGCCCTCGGGGCCGAGCGAGGGCTGACGGTGAGAGAGCCGAAGCGGCTGCGGGGAGGAGGAGGAAGAGGAGGAGGAGGAGGAGGAGGAGGAGGGGGAGGAGGAGGAGGAGGAGAAGGAGGAGGGAGGAGGAGGAGGAGGAGGACGTCGGCGGTGAGGGATGCTCGCAGCACCAAGGGCCGCACGCGCGCGCGCTGCTGGCTTGGTGGAGGAGGCCCTGCACGGATATGCCTTGCTGCGCGGCTGCCCGCGGTGCCTGCCCGACGCTGCTCGCTGCCGCGGCTGCCCGCCGCGCGGGAGGCCCTGGCGCAGCAGCGGGGCGAGCACGCGGCCGTGGCCGAGGAGCTCCGCGCCCTGGGCGGCGCCCTGCCGCCCGGCGCCGGCGAGAAGGCCCGGCCCCCCCGCGGCGGCCCCCCGCGGCGGCGCCCCGCGGCGGCGCCCGTCGGCGGCGCCTCGGCGGCCTCCGCCCTCGGCGGCCCCGCGGCGGGGCCCGCCGGGGCGTGGTGGATCCTCCGACCTCGCAGCGCCTCGGGGGCGCAGCCCGCGGAAGGCAGGGAGGGCACCGTGGGGCCGAGGCGCGAGAGATCGAGGTCGGGTCTGGGAGGGCGTCCTGAGGTCCTTCGTGCTCGTTGCATGTTCTGGTGCACCCTGGGGGAGGGAGCCCTCGCAGGTCCTCCTCGGTTCGGTGGGGCGTCTTGGCCGCCAGACGGCCTCGTGTTCCCGAAGGGTGTTCTTCTGTCGCAGGCCCGACTGTAGGGCGGATGTGCCCGCCTCAAAATAGGTAAGGCGGGAATTGCCGCTCGACCCGTGTGGGATGGACCTAGTGTCTGAGTCCAACTGGCACCATTATGTGCTAGCTCGCAGCTGCTCCTAGAGTGCACCAGGTCATGCAGTACAACTAGTCATATCGAACTGCGATTGGGGCGTAAGAGGAAACAGTATATAGACTCCTGATTTAGGAATCACGACATACTATAGGACCGCGACTTCGGAGCACGGAGACATCAAGTCATCACAATCAAGGAAAACAGGTACATTATATAATGTCGTACTGGAGTTGGGTACTGCTTCATCCTCCTCGGTGAGAGTCCATTTTTGACCAGGGAGTCGTGGTGGTCACGAGGAGTTCCCTCACGCTGCGGTCGTGCGTCCGGGATGCGCGCAGGAGGTGCTGATGCTGGTGGTCCTCTGTTTCGTGATGGCTGGCGTGTGGTCCCCCGTGGTGGTCTCCAGCGGCGTTACTCTGTGGAGAATTCTGATCCTTCGTCCCAGTTTTGCCCGAGTTCTGAGGTGAAGCTGCGTCGCCGCAGTTCGTTTCTTGTCGCTTTCCTCTTGTCGTCTTGTCTCGTCGTTCTGTCGCCTCCTCTTTCGTTTCCTGTCCTCCCGCGTTGTCATTTCTGCGCTTTTGGGTTCGTCGTTGCTTCCCCCTCGTCCTCGTCTTCCTCCTCTTCTCCCTCGGTCCCTCGTCGCCTTCCCCCTAAAAAAACGTCGCAATCCTGTCGGGCGGGCTGGGCGGAATACATATATATATATATATATATATATAATGTCGTTTTCGGAAGTAGGACACACAGTAGCGTGCAAGTAACATCCGTAAGGGCTTCGCCCCCTGCCGCCAGCCCCCTTCTCGGAGAATGGGCAATGCAAGAGCGAAATCATGAGGCCTTGGCGCCGCCGTGAAGCAGCGTCGGGATTTTTCATTTAATTTACCTGGGTTGATGGCTTCGGAGACGCGACTATAGCGCAATTTACGATGGTTTATAGCTTCGGATACGCGACTAGCGCGTAATGTGCGAGGGTTTATGGTTTCGGGATCGTACAGATAACGTAATTTACGCAGGCTTATGGCTTCGGAGACGCGAATCTAGTACAGTTTTCGAGGGCGTTTGGCTTCGGACGCGCGGTTCACGGCGTCGTGGTCGCAACGATTCCGTCATTTACTCCGTCATTTACACAGGTTTATCGTTTCGGAGACGCGAATAGCGCATATTGTACAAGCGTTTATGGTTTCAGATACGCGAATACAGCGTGAGTTACGAGGGTTTATGTATTCGTGGACGCGAGTATTAAGTAATTTCCAATGGTTTATTGCATCGGGAGCGCAATTATTGAGTAATGTATGATGGTTTATGGTTTCGGAGACGCGAGTATACTGTAATTTACCAGGGCTGATCGTTTCGGGAGCGCGAATATTTTGTGATGTACGACCGTTTGTTGCCTCGGAGACGCAAGTCTTGCGTAATTTACGAAGGCTGATGGCTTCGGGGAAACGAATATGGCGTATGTTGCGAGGGTGTATGGCTTCGGGGATGCGAATATTGTATAATTCGCGAGGGCTGGTGGCTTCGGGGTCGCGAATCTCGTGTAATTTACGAGTGTTTATGGCCTCGGGGGTGCGAAGTTCATGCATTTTTGCATGTCATGCGCCCCGCCAGGAATTCAGAGCACGCGAACTGGGCGTGGTAACTGGGTTCCTTCTCGGCTCCCCCCCCCTCGCGCGGACAGTAACTATTTACAGTAGGAAGCATACAGCAAATCTGTCACAGTGGAAACTGGAAACTGCAACTGGTGCAGGGAACAGTGAACCCTGGCCCTATAGCCGGGTGGCCCCACAAGGGGGCCGGCGGATCAGAATTCCCTGGCACATCGACCATTCGAGCGAGTAGTGCTGCGTTACATTTGCAACATGGGCTCTCGCGCGTTTCCTTTCCCCGATTGCGCTGTGGGGGCGTGGGGCCCCGTGCGCCAGCACCCCCGCGGCTGAGAGTCCATTCGTCTTCCGTGCCCGAGCCCCTCACCAAGGATGTCTCTCTTTCTTCCGCGAAAGCCAAGCCCCCTGGGTTCCTCTGCGCGCTTTGGGAATGCTTTCCTTCCAGATGGACCCACATGGGTCATACGTTGAAGTCGCCCGGGTGATAGTATACATTTACGCACGTGTGTTTGTGCATGTGTGAATTGTTGGCATGATAGGTTTCATCTATGCGTCGGTATGAGTTAATGAATCAGCATTTGCTGGTTTTTGCGTCTGCCTCTGCTTCTGTTGCTATGCACGTGTGTACTGTCTGCCTGTTTCTTTGCGTGTCTGTCGAGTCTCCATCGCTATGTGCGTATGTTTGCCTGCAGTTCGCGTGCACGCAAGGTCGCCATGCTTGTGGTTGACAACATATGGCAAGGACGTTCGAGAAGCGATAGCGATACACACGGGCGAGCGGAGCAGTGAAATATTGATGACCGTCTCATGATCTTCATTTTGCTGGCCTCGTCGAAGACCTCCTGCCCACCCCGCACTCCTTGCGAGAGGCGGACCAGGGACGGGGAGTCGAAGCCGAGCTGGCTGCGCCTTCGCGCCTAGCTGCGGTCAAGGCCAGTGGGTGGGGGGGAGGAGAAGAGAGGGGAGGCTAGCAAGGAGGAGCAGGAGGAGGAGGAGAATTGAGGGTGGATGGCGAGGACGGATAGGAACAGGAGCCGAAGGGCGGAGTCAAAGGATCAGAAGTTGGGAAGGCGCTCGCTGGCGATGGTGGTCTGAAGGAGGAGGGAAGGAATGAAGAGCTACTCGAATCTTAGAAGTCCCCGAACCATCACGGGCTTCCTTCGAAGAAGAAGAAGGCGAGAGGGCTCATTGCAGCAATTCGCCCGTGCCGTGCGCCGTCATAGAACGGCGTCTGGATCACAACGCTAGACTTGGCGTACCGCGCCCGTGGTGTCTGGTCGACGACGTTGTGCGCGTTGTGCCTCTGAGCGCGCAGATGCTTTGCACGAGAGCGCGTATCTGGGTGTACCCCCGGCTTGTGGAAGTCGATTAATGCAGAGGAAGCGTGCTGCCAAATAATGTCCAGATGCCCAAAATGTTTCAAGCATGGTTTGAACATGTTGAAAACATGTTTGAAACATGTGTAGAACATGTTTATACAGGTTAGACACATCCTCATTTCAAGGGTAGGATTGTTAGAGTGTCCATTGTCATGGCATCCAAAACCTTAGGCGTTTGGACGCCTCTCCACAGGTTGTGACTGCGCGTGAATTAACCAGCCTCGAACTTATCCCTATCCCTAAGATGGGCGAGCAAAAAGCGAGGACAATCTTAGGGATAGGCCCTCAGAAACTGAGGGAATCCTTAAGATCGGCATCGAGGTGAGGTGATGTCAAACCCAGGGATAGGGATGTGTTCCAAACTGGTAATGAATGCCATGCCCCGTCGCTCGCCATCAAGGGGGGTGCGAGGCGCGACCCGACCCGGCGCCGCCCCCTGCAGGAAGAGCTGCCCGCGGCCGCGGCCACGCCGAGCACCGCCTCGGCACTGCCGGCGTCGAGTGCCGCGGCGGCGGTGGAGCAAGGCTTTGTGGAGAGCGTGGTGCCTGGCCTGAGCGTGCAGATGCTGCTAGGCCAGCAGGGGGACGAGGAGAAGAAGGAGGACGAAGAGAAGGAGGAGGAGGACGAGGAGGAGGACGAGGAGGAGGAGGAGGAGGACGAGGAGAAGGAGGAGGGAAGGAGGAGGCGAAGGAGGAGGAAGAGGAGGAGAGCAGGGAGTCTAGCAGTAGGAGCAGGAGCAGGAGCATAAGGATGAGGAAGAGGCGTGCGCGGCCTAGCGCGGCCGCAGCGATACGCCAGCCAGCGCCAAACAGTTATCGCAATCGCCACCGCATGGGTTTTTCAATCGAAGTTGCGAGTGCGTGGGTGGGATGATTGCGCGAGCAGTAGAGTTGGCAACTCACTGCGGATCAGAAATCATTGCACTACCTAGATTGCGCCGCGTCGAGTGCACGCGCGAGCAGTGGAGTTGACAACTTCAAGTTCGGCGAGTGAAGTGCACCACATAGATTGCGCATGGAAACGCGCTGTTTGAGCCCCACGCTGGCTCACGCACTCTCTTGCGCAAGCAGAATCACTTCTGTTGGCGGCCATCCTGACACTGCCATGCCCCCGCGAAGACTGCCTTCTCCTGCCCTGCCCGTCTCCCAGCGCCTTCCGGGCCTGCACGCCCCGCGCGCGCCGCGCTTTTTCTGCGAGCCTCGTGGGCGGCGCCGCGCCCGCTCTGGCGGCCGCGCTGGGGCGTCGCCCTCGGGCCACCGCTCGGCGGAGGGCGAGACGCCGGTGCCGCTGCTCGTCCTGGAGACCCCCCTCGCCGCCGCGGCCGGGTTCTCCGCGAGATCCTGGCCAGGGTGCACCCCACGAGAGAGGTCTGGGGAGCAGCGGTGCTGGTGCCGGTCCGGCCGAGGGAGGGAGCTCGGAGGAGGGCCAGTCGAGACGGTGGCGGCACCCCGTGACTCGGCATCGCTGGGACGTGTGCATTTTTCCTTCGGCGAGGGCAGTCGAAGATCATCCTTGATCAGCTGGCGAAAAAAATCACGCACGAGACCGAAAAAGGCACAGGGCACGGGCGTCCGAGCGATGGCGAGATGACGCTCTTCTCAAGCTTCTTGAGCCTGCCTCCCGGAAGCTCCTCGTCGCCACACGGCCGAAGCCGCTTCGAGAAGCGGGGTCGGGTCGGGCCGTGGGCGAGGTCCGGGGACCGGCTCGGAGCGGAGTTGGGGCCAGGCGAAAGAGCCGCCGTGCTTTCGGGCCCTCCCCTCCTGCTGCTGCTGCTGCTGCTGCTCCTCCCTCCTCCTCCTCCTCCTCCTCCTCCTCCTCCTCCTGCTCCTCCTGCTCCTCCTCCCCCCCTCCTCCTCCTCCTCCTGCTCCTCCTCCTGCTCCTCCTCCTCTTCCTCCTCCTTCTCCAATCGCGCACGCTGTGCATCATGAGACAGCCGACGTGCAGTCGCTCCCGCAGAGCGGCGAGTTCAGGCTGGCATTGTCTTCTGCCCACGCGCTCCGGCGCATGGCAGTTCGTTCGTTCGTTCGTTTTTGGCCCAGGACAGGCAGGAAACATGTACTGTCGCATTCGCTCTTCCATTCCCCTTTCCCTCTTCCGTCCTTCTGTACTCAATCGTCCTAGCTTCCTCACACGGTCAGGCAAGTCTGGCTCGAGATATGCGGCTGGTTCGTCAGGGCCCGTCCTCTCGTGCATCTGGCCTTCCCTGATCACAAGGGGTCGCACAGAGTGTCTCAGAATGTCCACCGTGCCTACCACCAAAAGGAGCAGCATGCGCCGCCCGTCAGACGAACTCTGCCCTATTGCCAACACCTTCACGACTTGCATGCTCGGCGCCTTCAGTGTTAAGGTTGGGGCGAAGCTGATGGCCATTATGGTGATGCTGGACGGGCTGATGTCCGTCCTCACCTGGCTGATGGATTGCCGCCATCCGGCCTCCGTGATGTTTCGCTGGGGGGCCCCTGGTTGGGAGGTAGCGCTTCAGAACGTCAACGCTGCCATGGGCATCTGCTCCATGCTGGCTGGCGTGGCCGCGATGGGAAGCTGCAACCGACCAGACCTGCAGGGACTGCGCCGGTTCAAGAATTACGTGTTGATTTTGATGGTATGGACAGTGTCGTGGTTCCTCATGGTCGGCCTCCCCGTGGACGTGGTGTACGTCAGTGTTCCGGTGATTCAGACGTGGCCAATGTCGGTGCTACCAGGAGTGCCGCACTATGACATCGTAGACCCAGCTTGGCCCAACGGCAGGCCCTCGGTGTGTACTGACGTCGCGGAGGCGAAGCAAACATTGGCCAATATCCTCACGGTGAGAAGAAAGAACCGTGCTATTGCGAGAGTTTTGCATGGCGTCTACGAGTGGCTATTGTACAGGTACCTCACTTGCCGACAGGTTCAGAAAATATTCTGGTTGGTGATGCTGGTGTCGCTATGTTGGAGGGCGTACGCTGTGTATCTGATCGAATATTTCTGCAAGATCGTGAAGCACGGGGGCAATGGCAAGGTGATGATAGGCCAGCTCGGAGACCTGGACAAGCCAATCGATATCCACGAACACATGAGGCGGCAGATTGAGCAGATCTTCAACCAGATGGACTCGGACCATGACGGCAAGGTCTCGCTTAGCGAGCTGAGGGAGTATCTGAGGCAAAACAGTTCACTCTACTCGGAGGACGTGGGCTCAGCTTGAGCGCTGCCGGAATCTCGTACGCATCGTATCCTGAGGCCGCCGATATCAAAAGTCACGCTGATCGTTTATTCAGGACTGAGGCTTCCTGAGGATCGTTGTAGTCCGACCCGGCGCCACACACCCTTGTAATTGTTGATGCTTTGTGTGTTCCCCACCAGCCCATCCCAACAAAAAACGATGCCTAGGCGAGTTGCCGTGAAAAGTGAAGTGAAGGTTCACCAAAGACGGGGGACTTCAGTACAACCGAGGGAGGATCTGCCAACGCGGCCCTGAGAGATTGCCAACGTGGGGCTCTCTCATGAAGACCTCTTGTGGCCATAGGACCTCCAGGATGGTCATCGACCAACAAGAAGAAAACTCCCAGTTACACGTATCTTGCTGGGACACTCAAGTCATCTCTCGGGGTCCTCTTGCGACTCCTGGGTTGCGCTACGCGGTAGGGGCCGTCAGGGCCCTCTTGGGGCTCGTTACTTGCCCGTCTTGGCGCCCTCCTGGGCCTTCCTGAGGACATCTTGAGGCTTCAGAGGTCCATCTGAGATGAAGCAACAGGAAGTGGAAGTCCTGTAACTGCACGCCGCGGAGCACTCCATGTGTGAATATGTGTCTTGTGCCGTTCCCCGCAGTCCCCCCCAAGCGCCGTGCGTGCCAGCACGAGGTGGTCAGGAGCCTCTAAAGTCGCACACGCCTACCCACCCAAACGGGCGCTGTATTCGAGATGTCCTACAACGTTGGGCACGAACGGGCCCAGGTACTATCCCCTGGTCGCTCCCCCTTGGGAGGTCCAAGAGCGGTCCCGAGAGTTCCCACCAATTCAGGCTCCGACAGGTCCGTGCTTGTGATGCCCCCTGGCCGTCACCTTTTGGGAGGCCGAGTGCTGCGCTTGGCACCGCACGCCGACACGAGGCTCTGACGACAGGCAAGGCACGCTTTGAAGGCTCCGTGTCCAACTCGAAGCCATGTTTGACCAATCTTGATACCTCTGGAAGCCATTTGGGGGCAATCTTGTTCACGTCAGGCCATCTGGCATCACCTTGGAGACCGTCTTGGGCTATCTGGGACCATCTTGGGGCCATCCAGGACCAGCTTGGACAGTTCAACTGCCGACTACAGCCCTGGCCCAGATTCACAGGGAGCGCGCAACCAAGGTTCTATCAGGGTTTCTGGTTGAGAATTGGATCGGAGACGCCTACTGCGAGTCGCCGCCGCCCCCTGCCTTTTGGAAGCGCCTGTGCCATAGAATCTCAAGCGAGCGTGCGGCCATGCTAGTGGACGGCGTGTTCCCCTAGCTTTTGGGGAAGCTACAGGGGAACCGCTCGGGAGGGACTCTCTGGGGCCGCCTTGGGGCCTTTTGGGCATCCTGGGGCCCTCTTGTGGCACCTCGGGGCTCTCTGGGGCCTTCTTAGGGCACTCTTGGGCCGCTTTGCGCCTTCGGATGCCGTCTTGGGGGCCTCTCTGAGCCATATTGGGGCCATTCGGGGCAGTCTTGGGGCTCTGCTGGGCCGTCTTGGGATTCGCTTGGGGCCCGTGTGTGCTGGTCCTGGGGTCCTCTTGGACCCTGGTCTTGGTCGCTCGTGGAGGCCGAGCAGGTGGAGGTCAGACGATGGGACAAGCAGAACCATCGAAGGCGCTCCCCCCCGAACAGACGAGGGAAGGCCAGACAACAAAAATCGGAACAGAAGTTGGAACAGCAGGCGGATCCCGAGGGCACCCAAGGTACAGTCAACGCGCCCAGTCAGGACGCGCGCCTTCGTCTAGGGTACCCTTGTGCCCTTGCCTCTGAGGCCCGTCCTTGCCATTATCACTGGTCGCCCGCCGCCCTATAAAAATTATCCTGGCGATGGACCCAACCATATGCAGTTACGAGTACCGCAAAGCAGGTTCAACGAATGAGAGGGAGTTCCCTAAGGGGCCACGAAACGTGTGAGAGGTGTGCCGAAATGGGTGCGGTGCCGCTTTGCCAACGCAGCCATTGGGGCCCTCGGTGGAGCTCCCTATGGGGCCACGAAACGTGTGAGGGGTGTGCCGAAATGGGTGCGGTGCCGCCATGTCAACGTGGCCACTGGGGCCCTCGGTGGAGCTCCCTGTGGGGCCACGAAACATGTGAGGGGTGTGCCGAAATGGGTGCGGTGCCGTCATGCCAACGCAGCCACTGGGGCCCTCGGTGGAGCTCCCTATGGGGCCACGAAACGTGTGAGGGGTGTGCCGAATGGGTGCGGTGCCGCCATGCCAACGCAGCCACTGGGGCCCTCGGTGGAGCTCCCTATGGGGCCACGAAGCGTGTGAGGGGTGTGCCGAAAGTGTAAGTGCCGAAATGGGTGCGGTGCCCATGCCAACGCAGCCACTGGGGCCCTCGGTGGAGCTCCCTATGGGGCCACGAAACGTGTGAGGGGTGTGCCGAAATGGGTGCGGTGCCGCCATGCCAACGCAGCCACTGGGGCCCTCGGTGGAGCTCCCTATGGGGCCACGAAACGTGTGAGGGGTGTGCCGAAATGGGTGCGGTGCCGCCATGCCAACGCAGCCACTGGGGCCCTCGGTGGAGCTCCCTATGGGGCCACGAAACGTGTGAGGGGTGTGCCGAAATGGGTGCGGTGCCGCCATGCCAACGCAGCCACTGGGGCCCTCGGTGGAGCTCCCTATGGGGCCACGAAACGTGTGAGGGGTGTGCCGAAATGGGTGCGGTGCCGCATGCCAACGCAGCCACCGGGGCCTTCGGTGGAGCTCCCTATGGGGCCACGAAACGTGTGAGGGGTGTGCCGAAATCGGTGCCGCCATGCCAACGCAGCCACTGGGGCCCTCGGTGGAGCTCCCTATGGGGCCACGAAACGTGTGAGGGGTGTGCCGAAATGGGTGCGGTGCCGCCATGCCAACGCAGCCACTGGGGCCTCGGTGGAGCTCCCTATGGGGCCACGAAACGTGTGAGGGGTGTGCCGAAATGGGTGCGGTGCCGCCATGCCAACGCAGCCACTGGGGCCCTCGGTGGAGCCCTGTGGGGCCACGAAACGTGTGAGGGGTGTGCCGAGCGGTGCCGCCATGCCAACGCAGCCACTGGGCCCTCGGTGGAGCTCCCTATGGGGCCACGAAACGTGTGAGGGGTGTGCCGAAATGGGTGCGGTGCCGCCATGCCAACGCAGCCACTGGGGCCCTCGGTGGAGCTCCCTATGGGGCCACGAAACGTGTGAGGGGTGTGCCGAAATGGGTGCGGTGCCGCCATGCCAACGCAGCCACTGGGGCCCTCGGTGGAGCTCCCTATGGGGCCACGAAACGTGTGAGGGGTGTGCCGTGATAGTGGGAGGAGGGAGGAGGGAGGGGGGAGGAGGCGGAGGAGGAGGAAGGAAGGAGAGGAGACGCGGGGCACCGTCTCTTCAAAACGAGGACCCAACACCACAGGATGGTTGGGAAAAACAACTTCGGCCTCCAAGGGTCTTGCGTCCTTACCACGCGTTCTTACTATACGTTTTGACTGTAGCCCAAGAGACCCCCAAGAGAGCCTCGTTGAGCCGTCCTTAGGCGTCTGGCCTCGGGCCTTCCTGGAGTCCAACGTGGGCCACACCGGCCATCTTAGCGGGTTGCAGGGCTGGACCTAAACGGGGTTTTTGGGCGATTTCGTGGGCCGTTGTCGTTTCGACGTCGTTCTGCGGTAAAGGCGGATTCGAGACAAGAGCGAGGGAAAACGAAAACAACATTTTGACTCGCCCTCGGAGCGCTCCCTCCTCTTGTTGAGACTCGCCTCGGGCAGAACTCTCGGAGCCTTCGGGAGGCCGCGTGAAGCTTGAGTTAACAAGGAGGGGGAGGAGGGATGAAAGACAAAACGAACACGAAAACACTGTTACGGTGTTTTTGGCGACTTCGTGGGCCGTTTTCGTTTCGGCATCGTCTTGCGGTGAAGGCGGATTCGAGACAAGAGCGAGGGAAAACGAAAACAAAATGTTGATTCGCCCTCGGAGCGCGCCCTCCTCTTGCTGAGACTCGCCCCGGGCAGAATGTTCGGAGCCTTCGGGAGGCCGCGTGAAGCTTGAGTTAACAACGAGGGGGAGGAGGGATTACTAGCCGGCCGCTCTGCGGTTGATCGGGAGTTTCTGTATATAGAAGAAGGTGCGTGCGCTTGTTGGAGAGGGTGAGGATGAGGTTCCTCCTCCTCCTCCTCCTCCTCCTCCTCCTCCTCCTCCTCCTCCTCCTCCTCCTCCTCCATCCTCCTCAAACTCCCTCAAAAAAACAAAACGAACACGAGAAACGCCGTTTAGGTCCAGCCCTGGCGGGCTGTCCTGATTGTCGTGGTCGCGGCGCCGGCCTGCCCGGGTGGCCGGAGCGGGTCGGGCCGCCGACCACCCGGGAGCCTCCGGCACGGAGCTCGGCCTTTTGTGGCAAGCACATGGGGGCGGCGGAGTTTCGAGCAGGGCTGGACCTGAACGGTGCTTTTGGCGTCCCTGTGCTTCTCTTCCTCCTCGTGGTCCTCGTGCTCCTCCTCGCTACCCTCGCGTTCGCCACGTCGTCCTCGTCATCGGCTCCTCGTTGTCCTCGCCTTCCTTTGCTTCTTCGCCCAACACGCCCGTTGGACTACAGCGGCGCTTCCCGTTCTTGTCCGATCAGGTTTTAGAGCAGGGCTGGACCTGAACGGTGTTTTTGGCGATTTCGTGGGCCGTTTTCGTTTCGACCTCGTTTTGCGGTACAACGGCGGATTCGAGACAAAAGCGAGGGAAAGCGAAAACAAAGCGAAAACGAAAAACGCCGTTTAGGTTCAGCCCTGCTTTAGAACGCCTACGGCGAACAACCCCCGCCCCCTGCCTTGGGGAAACGGCTACGTGGCCAAGCGCTGGGCCAAACGAAGGCTAAGTAACTGGACGAAGTGATCCTCCCGCCGTGGTGGAAAACTTTGGGGGAACATTTCTGGGAGAAAGAATAAGGGGAGGAGAGGAGGGAGGAACATGGGGCCGAGAAGGAGAAGGAGAAGGAGGAGGCCTGTTGGGGGCCTCTCCTCGTGGAGCCTCCTCGGAACTTCCTGGGGGCCTCTGAGGGGCCTCTGTGGGGCCTCCTAGGGCTTCTTGGGGGCCTCTTGGGGGCCTCTTGGGTCGTCTTAGTGCCCTCGTGGGGCCATCTTGGCGGCCTCTTGGGCTATATTGGGTGCCTCTTGGCCTGTCTTGGGGCCCTCTTGGAGGCTTATTGGATCGTCTTGGGGCTGCGTTGGAGACCCCTGGGCCCGCCATTGTCGGAAGCCCGACAAGGCGACAAGGCGACAAGGCGACATGACGGAGCGC